TTATTCTTCAGAGACGACCATCTTTTAGGCCATAAAGCAAAACTCAATAAATTCAAAAACATTCAACTAATGCAAAGCACCTTCTCTGCTCATAATGCCACAAGAGTAGACAACAACAATAGAAAGAAAAGGTGGGGGGGATACATAGAAACTGAGAAATGTTGCCAAACCGAAAACAGAGACGGGGTGAGATCCAATCCAAGCTTTAGTAACAGAAACCTAGCAGTCTGGAGGACAGAGAGACTCATTTCTCAAGACCATCATATCTTTTACAAAGCGCAGGTACATTATATAGGGTAAGTTACATTTGGATGTACATTTTATCTATTTTAACATCAAGATAGTGTCTTTTGAGGGTTGGGGTGGTGGGAGCGGTGGGGAGGAAACAATCAGGCTATGATCCTTCTCAAACATTCCATTTTTCAGAAAAAAGGAACAATCTAGCAATAATGATCCCTCTCAAACATTTTACCTTTAGGGTCTCTGCTTAAATCCTGAGATAACTATCTGAAATATCCTATTCTCGTGTCCTCTTTCTAGGGCCACAAGGTCATCCCAGCCAATGTATAAACTTCCTTACTTTCAGGGTCTTCACTTTATACTTGGGAGTCCTGGTGTGGCTCTCTGGGTTAATGCGCCAGACTGCAAAGCCATTTGAACTGCAAGGTCAGTGGTTCAAGCTCACCAGCTGTTCCTTGGAAACCCTACATAGGGTTGCTATGGGTTGGAAATGACTCAATGGCACTTAACCACAATAACTTGAAACTCAATGGCTAAACTGACTCCATTTTGCTTAGGTCAGTAGATTCATGCTACCAATAACAGCTTGTTTTATAAAGAAAACAAAACAAAAATATTGGGTAATGGAATAAATTAAAAATAAAATTTTAAAAAATTTTAGAATTCAATGAGAATTAAAACAACATACCAAAACCTTTGAAATACAGAAAAAAAGAGCTCTGAGGAATATTTCTAGAATACTCAAGAAAGAATAATAAATAAATCATAACAGAAGGAAGCGTCACAATCAATAGCTTAACCCTTTGTCTTAGGCTTAGTTCTCTAGAGAAGTAATACAAATGAAGCTTACCTGTTGTTGCTGTTGTTAAGTGCCATCCAGTCAGTTCGGACTCATAGTGACCCTGTGAAGGGTTTCCAGGGGTTTTTTCTTAATTTATTCTTTTTGGGAGCAGAAAGCCTCATCATTGTCCCACAGAATGGCTGATGGACTCAAACCACTCACCTTGTAGTTCACAGTCCAAGGCTTAGCCTACAGAGTCACTGTGCTAAGCTTATATTGTTGTTGTTAAGTGCCATCAAGTTGGTTCCAACTCATAGAGACCCTACATAGGGATTCTGAGAGGCTGGTGGATTTGAACTGCCACCATTGTAGTTGAAAACAACCTTTCAGTCCAGTGCTCATCCTACAAGGCCACCCCAAGACTCCTGCCACACCAGCTTATAAATGTATATATAAATAAAAATGTAGCTTAAGGAACTAGCACATGCCATTGTAGAGGCTTACAAGTTCCAAGTCCATGGGTCTGATGTCAGACTGCAGGTTTCTCCTGACTCACACAGTCAAAGGGGCTGATGAACCCAAGATTGGCAGATCAGGTAACAGGCTGCTGGATATGAAGACAAATGAATCCAAGGTTAGCAGGTAAGATGGCAAGCTATAGACTCAGAGGATTGGCAGGCAAAATAAAGTCCACTGGCTCATGTACAAAGAACTGGAGGTCAGATGATGACTAGCCAGGATCCAAATTCAGCAAAAAGAAAGATAGCCAGGCCAGACATCCATATATATTGGAAGTAGGCCACAGCCCTAAGAGTAATACTAAAGTATAACTTGGTATAATGAAAACATGAAAGTAAAATGTGATTATCATAAAAGATAGGAAATGTGTTTACTTGAGGAAGGGAAAAGTTTATGATTGAGATGGGACAAATGATGAGGCTTCTGGAAAAATATGTTCTCATTTTGGTGATTAACATGTGTTATGGATTGAATTATATCCCCCCAAATATTGATTGTAAATCCTAACCCTTTTATCTTTGGAGACCTGATATAGCCTGTAGGATAAGCACTGGACCATTAACTGCAAGGATGGTCATTCAAACCCACCAGGCACTCCTCAGAAACCATATACAGTGTGGCTATAAGTCAGAACTGACTCGATGGCACTTAACAATAACAACAGCTGTTGTTGGGAGACTCGGTGACATAGTGGTTTACACGTTGGAGTGTTAACCACAGCTTTGGTGGTTCAAATCCACCAGACACTCCCTGGGAGAAAGCTGAGGTCTTCTGCTCCCAGAGAGATTTAAAGACTCAAAAATCCTAATAGGATCAATAGGAGTCCAAACTGACTCAGCACCACACAACATAGTACCCATGATTATCCCATTGGGAAATGGGCTTTCTTTGTTATGTTAAGAGGCCAGAACAGTGTCAGGTGTGTTTTAAGCCAACCATTTATGACATAAAATGAAAGATTAGCCCCTGGTGGGTCCAGCTGTTGGGCCCAGGCGTTCTTCCAGATGTACTCTCTGGAGTTCTACCCACTAGGAAATAGTCAATACCAGCTTCTATACCACTGATCAGTGACAGACAGGCTCTAAGACCAGTCAAACTCACCCTAACCTGAGGTACATAAAATGACAAACATGAACAGAGTTCATACATCAATTCTCTAACTACACCCATGGGACACAGTTGGTGAGAGCTTAAGAACACATTTACACAATCATCAATTAAGTACAAGTATAACAACACCACAATGTTCCAGAGACAAAAGACAGTTTTATTTCACATGAAGAAAGAAGAGACAATGGCTCAAACAAATGACCAAGACACAGCCAGAAAAAGTTTTGAAAACGAAAAGGTAATAGAAGGAATTTAAAAACAATTTAAAAGAATGCTACCTAGGTACCTTCAATGGATTGACAGATAAAGGAGAGCACAGAAAAAACATAAGAATTCAGGAAAACACATAGCAAGAACAAGCTGACAAATAGATGCAAATTTTGAAATGATATAAAACCTGCAATTAAGAAATCCAGAAGATTAATACTAAAACATTAAAAAAGGATAATACACTGAAAGCCAAATTAGTAGCTGTGGAGAAATGGTAGCCTGAATTAGTGAGCTTGAAGATAAATCTCTCAATACTAGTATGCTAGAAGAATAATCAGAAAAAAATCCAAAGAAAGCCTGAGTTATGTGAGACTCTATGAAGACTAACAACTTACAGGTAATCAGAATTCCAGAATAAGAAGAGAAAATAAAAATCACAGATGAAATTGTCAAACAGTTGTTAGAAGAAAACTTCCCTTACATCATGAATGATGAGAAGGTAAGCATATAAAGAGCTGAACAAACTCCAAACAGGATACATTCCAAAAGAAAACTACCAAGGCATATCATAATCAAACTTTCCAAAATCAAAGACAAGGAAAGAATCCTGAGAGCAACTGAGGAAAAATGAAAAGTTACCTAAAAGAAGAACCAATAAGATTAAGCTCTGATTTCTCAGCAGAAACCATACAGTCAAGAAGGCAATGGGATGACATATTCAAAACTCTTAGAGAATAAAAATTACCAACCAAGAATCATATCCCCAACAAAGCTGACCCTCAAATATCAAGGCGAACTTAGGACATTTCCTTATAAACAGAAATGAAAGGAATTCGTAATGACCAGACCAACAATACAAGAAATGCAAAAGGGTGTTCTTTGGACTGAGAAACAACAATAGCAGACAACAACCTCAGATTAACATATATGACAACACCACCCAGAATTCAGTGCAGCTATAAAAGTATTTAAAATAAAACAAATCTTCAAAACTGAACTAAGGAAACCAGAGATACCAATGAAGTCAACTACAAAACAAAAAGAAGTAATAATGCAGATACAGAACTTCCAGATGGCAAAGAAGTAAAGTAGATTTCAAGATTAACCAGACTGTTTAAGAAGAGAAGAAATTTAATAAATTACAGGGTAACCTCAAAGAAAATAAATACACCTGCACATCATAATAAAAAAATAAAATCAGAAAGATTTAGTAGACATTAACTCAACAGAAATGGATATATAAATAAAACACACAATCAAAATGAGTTCAATGCAGAGAATTATGTGGAACAAAGAAACGAGCAGTACAACAAAAACACACACAGATAAATGAAAGCAATCAATTCATACCTACTGATAATTATATTGCATATAAATGGATTAAATGCACCAATCTAGAGACAAACAGTGTCCTTCAATATGTTGTCTACAAGAGGACACATCAAACAGATGGAGACAGCTTAACTACTTATCAACAGAAGAATGGTAAAACAAACTTTGGTACATACACACAATGGAATACTATGCAATGTTGAAGAATACCAATGAATCTGAGAAGCACCTCACAAAATGGATGAATCTAGAGGACACTATCCTTTGTGAAATCAATCACAAAAGGACAAATATTGCATAAGATCAATGTTTTAAAAAGTTAAGAAATGTTGTCTTGATATAAGAAATGGTAGATGATGGAGTCCTGGTGTGCCACTGCAGGACAAAGCTCTGGACTGCAAGGTCGGTTTGAACTGTTAGAAAAGAAATGTTTGTTTTTTAAAGCCAGTACTAACAATGAAGGACACAATTTTAATTCACATATTTCTGATGTCTACTCAGTAAGGTAAAATATTAACTCTAAGTAATGAGTTTGTTTAGGAGCCTGTTTCATAGAATCCTGAATGACCATAAAGACAAAATAGTTTTTGATATGAGAATTTTTAATTGAAAAGAATTTATACATGAGACATAAGAGGATAGATGACCAATGATTTCACAATCTCAAAAGCACTAAATATGTCAATTCTCCTACAGACACATATCACCATAAATGATGGTGCCAAATGGACAGTAGAGTTGCTAAAGTGAAATTATTTGTGTTGAATTGAAGGTAGCAAGGCACCTTTCCTCCTTCTTTTGGAAAGAATTATGGTGGTGATTCCAGTGTGCATTTCATTGCCTTGTCTCTCTCTCGCTCCAGTTGTTCGATCTCCAACGACAGTTTATACAACTCCATGGCCAATTTCACATCTTGAGGATTTGGAAGACACTGCATGAAGTTCCTGCCTGCTAGTATTTTCTCACAACCTTCTGGAACTTCCTAAGAAAGACAGAGACATGGGCAGGCTTGAGCGGCTCATCTCTGATCACAAAGGAGGATGCAACACTGGCAAGGATACAACTACAGGATCAAGACCAGCCACAGAACTGGAGGTTGAACAGTGAAAACCAGAAAAATGCTTTGGATCCTACCATACTTATTCCCAGAGGAACAGACACCTATTCTGAGACAACGCTCCAGAAGACCGCTCTCCATGCTCTTTCTGTTGACCATCCAGAAATGAAAATGCAGTATATTATATTATATGTTCCGAAGGACTTAAGTGTCAGGATTTAACTAAGGGTCTCAGTTTTTCCTTTTCTAAGATCAAACAGGAAACTGCCCTTCTAACCCATTAGCTGCTTTAAAGTGGAAAGAGAAAGTTCCTTTGAGTGACCTTCAAGAACTCAGAAATGACTCTTGATAAGTCAGAGCTCGTAGGTGATGGCTGGCCCAGTGCTTCAGAGGTGCCTCCATTTTTAGGGTGTGATAGGATGGGAACTTCCTGGACTCATGCTACTCACCCACTCACACTTAGACACCTCTGGGTACCAGGTTCTGTTCTCTGAGCAACTGATACTTTGGGAGCCAACCACTCTATAGCCACGATTGCACTGGACAGTCGGAGTTTCATCTTCATCATACTCAGACTTATCTACAGACAGATTTCCATTTTCTATCTTTGGTTTCAGGCACACAGCTGCAATGGAAACACAAATTTAAGCAATCTGCAATTTTAAGGGAAAAAAGGCATGCTAACAGGTTATAGGATCTCCTCAATTTAGTAAAATAATTATTTTGATTGTTATTCTTATTGAGCATTAACTACAAATCAGACTTTAGTCTAAGCATTTGATGTGATTTAAGTGTATAATCCTGGATTCTCAACTTTCAAAACAACTCTCTCGCATGGTCTTCATTTCTGCAAGGTATTAGGTACGAAACATTTCCTCTTCTTTCCTCATTATTCTTCTGTTTTGAAGGAGATAATGTTAGCAAATAATTCTGGGGTGGTTGTTAGAAAATATATACAATAGCTGTGTTCATAAAAACATCAGACTCGACTTTGACTCAGCCTGTCTCCTTGAATAGTTGGGAGATCACAAGTCTTCCATCACAGCACCTATATTACAGGCATGTTGTGTCCTGTATGAGGGAACCTGCCACTTTACAGTGGTTAGGATTAGTCCATGAAAGCCAACACTTAGACTACCGAAAATATTTATAAGATTTTTGCTTGAGCCTAGTGGTTACGAGTTGGGCTGCTAACCTCAAGGTCAGCAGTTTGTAGCTACCAGCCTTTCCATGGGAGAAAGATGAGGCTTTCTGCTCCCATAAACATTTATAGCCTTGGAAACTCTATGCAAGATCGTTATGAGTGGGAACCTAATTCGCGGCATATAACCACCATCACCACCACCTTTAATATATTTTTGGAAATACATACAGGAATTGGGGATAGAGATTGTTTCTAATCTCCCAGAATGAGGGCCATTAACTTTTCAGTAAGCTTTGTGTACTTTTTGCATTGGATACCATATGCTTATATTAACTGCTTACAATAAATCCAATCAAATTCAATGTGTAAGTGTTGCCATGGGCACGAAACAAGCTTTTCTCTCAATGTTGTCGTGGGATTTCCACCCACTCATCCATGCACTGGAAAGAGAGCCTGGGGTTACCTTTACATACAGGAGCTGGAGGTGACCAGGTTGAATATCTGCAGGAGATTATTGCCTGTCCAACCAGAGTGTATCCATCATCACATTCATACATAATATCATTTGAGAAATATGAAACCACTTTCTTATGATGTCCATGGGCAATATCAGGAGGAAAATCGCAATCTTGATGGTGAGAGAGAAAAGTGAGAGGGCGTGAACTTGTAACATTTATAAAGTAAGACATTGCATTTCAGACTCTGTGAGGTTTGAGACAGGCTTCATTGTGTCCTTTCATCTATGCCCATAGGATTGCTTGTTAAGTAAAATAACTCATCCTGTTGTCTTATAATCCTTAGGTCAATGAACTGTAGTAAGGGTCAAGTTGAATTCAAAGCAGTGAGGTTGAGGAATATCTTGAATTTTCTTGATAGATTCACTATACTTTCTAGGGATTACTTGGCATGAAGGCTAAATTTCAGTCACACTGTACTAGAGGGACACTTAACTGAGGTCAGGCTAAGTGAAAAGACGTGCATCTGTGGGGGATGGCAAAAAGAAATACATCCACAATCTCTGAGTCCTGATCCCCCAAGTCATAACAATTCATTTATCTTCACCAAGAATATATATAGCACATGTTAAGAGAGTTCCAGTTGGCGGCAGCAGAGTAGAGTCAGGTAGGACAGGTTCTGTGTGTGTGTGTGGGGGGGGGGGGTGGGGGGGGGGCTTAAACCTCAGAGACAAGGCTCTCACCAAATTACACCAGAGTTCTCGATCTAACATAAGGGTCTGGGCATCAGTTTCCTGCAACCGGGAGTGAAAAATCATGGTATAAAGGAAAACATTGTGCTTTAGAAATCAGCATGGGACTCCCTCTATGGACATCCTACCTGGGCGGAAGTCAGAGGGTGGGACTACAGACAGACCAACACAGGGAATCTGTGCTAAAAGCAGCAAAGCAACATTTGCAAAAGGAGGTGTGGTGTGATTCTACATGTTTTTTTTTTTTCCTCCTCCTCCCTGCCATGCCTTCTTTCTCCAGCTCAGATGCCTTCAGGCTATTGGGTGCTGCAAACCCCCATAAAAAAAGTCCAGCATCGAGACCACAGCTTTCCCATGGCACAGAGAGAAAGATTCCCCATTGGTCCAAGGGTAAATCCTTTGGCTGCTGCTTTTGACTTCTGCCTGTGTGTCCTAGCCCTAAAGTTAACTTGTGAGGGACAATTAACTCCTTCCTACCTGGAAAGAAAAAAAGCAAGTTTGGCCTGACAGACAAACCATATGAACAATCTGTACAACCACATCATAAAAAGACACAACCATTTCAAGAATTATGCTGTGCACACACAGATACTTAACTGACCTTCAGAGACAAAAAAATGTAAACAATTTTCCTGACATTAACTTCTCAGTATCTATCAGTGCATCTCTATGGTGGTGACTAGAGGAGGGACCTGAGCAAGTGGACACCCTAACCCACTACTGGAGGCTTCTATGGTGCACACACACAATTTTATCTTTGTTTCAAAGTGGAGGTTCTTGTCTCAGAATTTATATTGCTTCTACTTTGGGGCCTTTTGATCACACATTTTTCCTAGAGTTGGGAGCTTTTTCTCCCTACGTTACCCAAGAAGAGTCAGCAATTGTGGCCATATAGCCAAGCTACAAGCATACCCCATAATATTCCACCCTTGGACAAGAGCCAGTAACAGCTGATAAACATTACATGCAAAATGGGAAGCCTATCTCCTGATCATATCCACCAAGAGATACCCAGTAAGCTTAATAACAAAACAACACACATCCATTCAAGCATTTAAAAACCCACACATTACAGGAAATGATAAACAAAAGACCACAAAAACAACAAACAA